TCACAGAGGTCCACTTGAAGAACTACACTTGCAAGTGGGTAACCTGTCATTATCCCTGTTGATGCCTGGAAGCAATACCTCTTATTACATGATAAGATGTATTAGATAGCTAGTGCCTGATAAGAATAGTTGATGGCCAGATATATTTCAGTGGGAGCTGAGATGACTCAGAAAACCTGGGCTCATCTAAATGGAGCATTGTTAGTTCCACCACTTTGTACTAGTTGGTACCTAATGAAACTGATCTCATTGGGGGCTTCTATCCACATGTATTCTTAAGTACACTTCTCTTGAAGAAATTAGCCCTTCGTCAAGAAATAATTCCTGTTTTTTTAAAAATATATATATATTGAGGAAACACCTCAAATATCATCTGCTCTGCAGGATTTTTCTTTGTTTTAGTTTTAGTAGAGCTAGTACTAAATTAAAAGTTTCCAATGAGCGGCCTTGACAGCAGATAACCACTGCAAATCCACTTAGTAAATCTGTAGCCTTTAAAAACAATTTTTTTCAACAGTTCAGAAATGGTCTTCTCTTGCTGTTATTTAGTTCTTTTAATGTTCAGTTGAAACATTCCAACCTGAGAAACTCTGGCTGCCTGAATGCCTTAAAAATAATAATTTCAGAGGTGGCTTAAAAACAACAACCATAAAGCCTGGAGTTTTGTCACTCTTTTTCACGGATCATGGAAAAATACTGATATCAGAACATAGTCAGATATATATGGAGGAACAAATGCTTTATCTAGCTGAGCCCATAAATGATTGGTAGAGATGTCTTTCTTCCTGTACAACCCAGGAAGATGTTGTAAATAAGGTATGTGCATGTGGGAGGAAGTTAGTTTGAGTTAACAACTAAGGCTGTGGCTAGACAGTGACATTATCCTAGATTTGATCAGTCTAAACAAGGTTGCATGAAGTGCAGTATAAATTTAGAATAATCCTTGCATCCACTTGCAAGGATAGGGTGGTTTGGGAAAAGGAAACTACACTGTACCTCAAAATGACCCTATGTAGCCTGTTCCTGCCTTTTAGCATCCATATCCTTGCATCTTCTCCCCCACTGTGGCGAGCAGTGGGAACCTCGGGGGGGGGGGGAATATTTCTTTGAATATTTATTGATAAGTGACATGTCACTTCATTGGCTTCCCACCAAAGTCATATGGCATTGGATTGTGAAGAAACAGGGGGAAAGGGGGGGAAATGTTACCCTCTGCATCCTCTCCTCTCTCCCACTTCCTGGGAAGCTGGGGAAACCTGGATTTTTTTAAAAAAAAATGTCGGTAAGTGACCTTTGCCACCCAAGTCACACAGCACTGAACTGCTGGGGAAAACACTAGTGCCTCTTTGGTTCAGTACTGGCAAGCATACATCCTAGAAACCAAACTACCCATGCTAAAATAAAATAAAATAAATAGTAACCCCCACTAGGGGTCCAAAAAGGCACTGATCACCATGGAAAAGGGTAGGGCTGGTTTAGAATCATCAGGACATTGTGTAGTCACTGAAATATAGATTGAACCTGATCATGCCAAAAGCCATCTAGAATGCGAGACAAAGCACTATCTGATCACATTCTAAGTCTGAAAATGTGTCAGAGAACTATCTTGGCTCTTGGAGGAAATCCTGTGGCTTTCTCTGTTCTCTAGAAACCTAACAGGGAACTAGAATCAGACTCCAGCTTATCTGCATAGATGTAATAGATCTAAAAGCAAAGTTTAAGATATGAGTTAGTGGCCTCGTCTGTACTTACATTTCCACAGTCAAAATCACACCAAAAAAATTGCCTTAGTAGTAATACTGTAACCAAAACATGGCCAGTGCATTTTATGTTTATGATTGCTTCAACTTTATTTCATTAGAGTCTGCTTTGCTACCCAAATGGATAGACAGTTGTGCTATATGATTAAGCCCGTAGCCTAAACCACAAAATGCCATTTTAGACAATTCCTGTGATGTATACAGAGAAATTCCCCAGTTTTTTTTTTAACAGTCACACAGAATCTCCCATTGTAGAATATTATGGCAATTGCAATCTAAGCATTTATATTTAAAGAAAACAAGGTTTTGTTTAAATACTTTGTGGAAGAATTTAAGAAAAAAATTGGAGAATCATTTGTCAGATCTGCTTTGATTACGATTCCTGCATTGAGCAAGAGGTTGGACTCGATGGCCTTATAGTCCCTTTCAATTTAATTATTAATTATTCTGTGAAGGTTCTTACCTTGAAATATATTTTTGTTACACGTTAAAAATCTTTGAGTTCTGATTGGGATACAAAAAGGATTTCATTACTTTGCATGACTCTGTGTCACAAAACGATGATCCTTAGGCCCTTCTCTTTACCATCTTTACTGCTCATCATTAGTTCTTTAAGCCATTCCTGTCATGTTTCAGTAGAATGGGGACAGAGGGTAACATGGGATTTGCAAATAGTACAGAAGTTTCTGCCAATTAGCATAATGAACATAACTGGGAACATCCTGCCTGGCACAATATTCTTTTTCCTGGCATAATATGACAGTGGTAGATGCATGCATGAGATACAGTGTGCAATTATCTGAAAGTACAGTTTGTTACAATCCACATGAAGGAACAAGCATGTATCCTGGTAAAAAAAGACATGTGATATTAATTTACAATGTGTACAAGACAGATGTGGCAGAAGTGAAATATCTGTGTGATGAGTGGCTTCAAATAGTGCTAAAGAACAACTGGAAGTAGTCATCTTCATCTTTCTTTCTCCAGGGCCGGATACCTGTAAAATGGATGGCGATAGAATCTCTCTTTGATCACATCTACACAACCCAAAGTGATGTGTAAGTCTCCATGCTTGGCTCCCTCCCCATCATGTATCTTTATTATTATGTCCATACTGTGCAGTTCCACATGAGGCTGCAGAGGAACAATCTGCTCAGCAGCCCTACTTTATGAACACTACCTGGGTGGCATGCCAGCACTGAAAACTGGTTTTTCAATCAAAGCATCAAGTCAAATATTCAGCGCTTTTCCCTCCCCACATCACCTCCTAGGTCACAGTAATTCTAAATTCTCTTGGTTAAGACTTCAGCAGTCAAAACATGCATAGATCTAAATTGCTTGCATTCTCTCAGGCACTTCCCCTCTTACTATGGGAAATTAAAATTGAAATGGATTGCTGTAAACCAGATAACATTAATTTCCATGCAATTAGAGTTCCTGAGATGAGTTGAATCCCTTGTCATCCTTGATAGAAGAGAAGTTGCCTGGAAAGTGGATGGCTAATCTCAATGAGATTTTCCTGTTCATTTGTGATCCTTGCACTGGCTCTCGTGCTGCTGGCTATATATTGAAGGAGACCTTATGCTTGGAAGGCACCGTCGGCAGCCTTGATCCAGAATCTTGATCCCTTAGTCTTGATCCCATAGTCTTGATCCAACAGCCAGTTTTTGGAGCCCTGCTTTCATGCATTACTAATAATCCAGACCTCAGCAAACGAGGTAGATTAGTCAGTGCAGATTGTGGGTGCCACCAGAATATTCTCAGCTGACCTCATAGGCCATTGGAACACACTAGATTCTAGAAAGCTTTTCTATTCAAGTTGGCTTCTCAGTCTGAACAGCTTCTCAGTGTGAGCAACTTGGGTAGCCAAGCAGACTTGTTTTCCTCAGCCTTGATCACCACTCTGTCACTGACCATGTCCTCTGTCTTTTGCCTCTGGTTCTCTAATAATCCTCTCTGAATCTATTTAGTTTTACTTTAACTTTATTTGGACTTATACCCCGCCCCTCTAGACAAAGTCTACTCGGGGCAGCTTACAGGAGTAATAAAATAAAATACAATACAATAAGATACATAATGATAAAACCTACTAACAGATGCATATATAGATTATCAAGATGAAATAACTGAGAAAGAATTGAGAAAGAAAGATCAATTAATTGACTGGAGGGAAGGCCTGCCTAAAGAGCCAAGTTTTTAAATGGCTTTTAAAAACACCCATCAAGGGAGCCAGGTGGATTTCCATTGGGAGAGTGTTCCACAACCAAGGGGCCACTGCTGAGATGGCCCGGTTTCTTGTTCTTTTCTTCCGGGCCTCTCTCGGCGTAAGGCCCCTCAGCCATCCCTGCTGGCTTTGTCGAGTGATTTGGGTAGACCTGGGTGGGAGAAGGCGATCTGCCAGGTATCGAGGTCCCAAACCGTTTAGGGCTTTATACGTCATCATTAAAACTTTGAAATCAGTGCAGAAATGAATGGGCAACCAATGCAAAGCAGCAAGGGTGGGGGAGATATGCTGATATTTCCTCAACCCCACTAAGGAGCCTGGCTGCTGCATTTTGCACCATTTGAAGTTTCCGCATCAATCCCAAAGGCAGTCCCACGTAGAGTGCGTTACAATGGTCTAATCTCGAGATTATGAGCGCATGGACAAGAGTAGTGAGGGACCCCCCATCAAGATATGGTTGCAGCTGGGCAATCTGCCATAGGTGAAAATAGGAGGAACGGACCACGGACGCTACCTGGGTTTCCATGGTAAGCGCCGGGTCCAGATGTATCCCCAAGCTGCGAACCTCGCTCTTTGCGGTGAGGGTCGACCCCCCAAAAGAAAGGGAGTCACCCAGACCACTGATGGAAGGACCACCCATCCTCAAGACCTCTGTCTAGGATTAGATCCCTTCAGTTGCAGCAAACCTTAAATTTTGGGCAAAACCTGGCAGCAGTATAATAGTGAAAGAGTGATGAAAGACACAGCTTTATTCATTTGCTGCTATATCTTTATCCTTAGAATGTTAACATTTGATTTAAAGGAGGGCCTCATTAGACTGTACAGTGGGGTCTCTACTTAAGAACGTCCCTACTTAAGAACAATTCCACTTAAGAACAGCTCCATTTGCTAAATTTTGCTTC